TATTAAATTTTGGGAGAGGGTAAATCTAGTGTATGGAGTGAAAGGATCAATTTTATAGCTGAAGCTGTAGTAAAATCACAGATTAACTGCTTCATAGAAATCCATAGGCTGAGCTGGACAGATACAGCTTCTGCAAGGCTTCCACATATAGTCTAACAGTCTGATTGGACTGAAGCTGAATTCCTCTTTTTGTAACAAATTAAAGTGGAACTAAAGACAAAACTTCTTTCTTAGTTTTGGATAGATTATGGGAGGGTTCTAACTAGGGATGCACGATACAGAGTATTTGGGCGCGTACTCGACCAAATGCTCCGATACTTACTCCCGATGCCATACCTTCCTGTAAGAGGGAGATTTCCTCTGACTGGCACTGCCGCAAGGGAAGATGTAGCCGGCTTCCCAGCCAATCAGTATCGAGCTGGCCAAACAGCATGGAGTCGGCTTCCAGGCCAATCAGGAAGCCGGGCGTCGGGTAACGACCCTCTTTGCAGCTCCTAGATTGGCTGGGGAGCCGGCTCCATGCTGATTACCCGGCTTCCCAATTGCCTGGGATGCCGGCTCCATGATAGCGGAAGCACCAGTATCGGTACTCGGTATCGGTGAGTACCGAAAGACAAATAAATATCAGTACTAGATACCGAAAAACCGGTATCGGTACATCCCTAGTTATAACCCCTCTCAGTTTTGTTTTTTTGGCCATCGGTGTCCCATTAGGCAGATTTCCCTTCACTTCCTGTCCGATAGGCCCAACCGGAAGGGAGAAGAAATCCCTCCAAAGAGAGGAAAATCCCTTGTGCTCAGCAGAGCAGGTGCCCCCAATTGAAGATTTCCCATCTGTACCTGTTCCGATGACCACCCAATATTTGGCATTTTCCCACACTATTAGTGACAATGGTCAACCGGTAGATATAAAGAGGGTGATTTTCCCTAATGGGGACACAGACAACAATAAAAACCTGAGAGGTGGTCCAATTCCTCTGCAAAAAAAAAAAAAAAGTTTTGGCTTTAGTTGACCAAAGGGTCAACTAAAGGGTCAACTAAGTAGGAGGTGAGGGTAAATCTTTTAATGGGGACATCTTTTCCTGGTGACAAATGTCTAAGGGGAATATCCCATCACTTTGGAGAGATTTCCCCCCACTTCCCGTTTCATCTCCAGGGCAGGAAGTGAAGGATAATCCCCTAACAGGACACAGCCAAAACAAAACTGACTTACTCTATCCAAATCTTTAAAAAAAGGAAAATTGTCAATCCATAACAGGGCTACGTAAAAACCATCGTCAAAGAAATCAGTACCTTGCCAAATTCACTCACCTTAAACCGCTCGGGTAGAGAGCGCAGGAGCTTTACCTTAATGGACAGACCGATAAGGGTGGCCATGCTGCAGTGCGGGATTGTGGGAGTGAACTCCACAGACACAGTGCTCTCGTCATCATCTGCCTGCATCACACCATACAACACAACATAAACATTAGACTTTGATTCCTGCAATAAATGTTTTACTTCCATGTGTCAGATGAGTAAAAACTGCTCAAAATAGAAATTCTGTAAAATCCTTTTCCTGGAGTCCATTGAGGGCCACAGGAAGTCTTCTACTGTTGAGTTATACTTCCATTTACAGGAGCACTGGGCAATAGCAATGAATGACAGTAGAGGACTTCCTGTGTCCCTCCAAGGATGATAAAGAAATAATATGCTAAGAAAAGTATATGAGCATTGGTTTTTGAAGCTAAAGGGGTAAAGATTATAAAATGACAGCAGCTAAAACAAACAATGCAGAAAACATTTTATTCATACGTGAATATGTGTCAGCATATTTGGTGTACATAACATAAATGTGTAACTAGTTAAGAGGACCTGTACTGTGGTAGCTCTGCTCAGAAGGCAGGTGGATGAGAAAGGACTAGTCACCAGTATCAACTGTGGTGTCCCTGCACAATGGGGATCTTTTCCCTATTGATGAGTTATTATCATGCCTTATTCTGAACTGTCACTGCATGGAGGCAGCCATCTTGGCAGAGCTTTACTTCCTCAAGCCAAAGCAGGCTTCCCCCCTTAATGCCTGGTGGGGTAATGATTAAGAAGCAGCAGGAAAGGCGCAGATCCACAGAATGAATGAAGCAGGGAGATCCTTGCACTGCAGCTCCTTAGGTACAGCTTCCTCTCCAGCAAGGAGAACAGTGAGCAGCAAGAATACAGCAATGAACATTTGCAGGGTCCTGCTTAGACACAAGTAACATTTCCAGACGGTCCCTAGACGCTAGCAAATCTTCACTTCATTACATTTGGTCCCATTTAAAAAGTGACAAAAGAAATGTCCGTTCCATGGTTATACTTTTGGTTTTCTCCATCAATATTTGGATTTCTTTATGTCTGTCTTCCTATTGGGGACATTCACCCCTTTATTTGTCCTGATGACTACTCCTACTGACACGAAGGGATGGGAAATCCAAAATTTCCAGTTAATGTGGTGAGGGGAAATCCTCCAATGGGGACAACTTTCTAAGAAGAAAATCCCCCTCACTTTGGTACGATATCCTCCCCCTTCCTGTTGCATCCCTGTGGAATCAGCAGTTCCTGGCCGGTCTAGGCTTCTGCACTGTGTTCACACCAGTAGTGTGGTGATGTCATGGCACTTCCTCTTAGTGTGGAAGCTGGGACAAGGCAGCTCTGTCTCTTTGCAGAAATACATCACTGCTATAATGACCTATTGCTGGCTGATTGCAGCCAGCAGTAGATCACTGTTAAAAGTAATGTGTTGCTGCCAAGCCACATCGGGGGGGGGGGGGCTTGGGAAAAAAAACCTGAAAAGGTTAAAAACAAAC